CGTATCTTTCAGTGAGGTGGGGAGGGAAAGAGTACGGTGCTCTTCTTGATACCGGAGCTCAGTCTTTGACTATTGGACCTAAATTAGCGGAACGATTCAAAGAGCAATTGGAGCCAACTAATGTGGTTATTGTTGCAGTTAATAATACTTTCTCTAAAGCATTGTGCACTTTAAAAATTAGTTGCGAAATCGATGATCATCATAGAGAGATATCAATTAAAGCGATTAACGAACTTAATCAAGATATAGTGTTTGGACGCGATTTCCAGGAGGCATTTGATCTAGATCTACGGTTGAGTCGAAAATTATTTCGAGTCTTTGAGAGAAAGTGGCATCCATTAAAATGGTTAGGGAATTCCTCAGAAGATACGGTATGTGTCGATTGTACCAGTATTATGGATATCTCGGTTAATCAGGGGACGGGGGTGTAGGCTAGCGTAACAACACCAAGTCGCTGACGGTCTAGATTAGAAATAAGACGAGAGGAAGAGCAGTTGTAAGGAGGGTGCATGTGTCATAACAAACGGGATGATTAGCTCAGGATAACTGAATCCTGGGAGGTAGAGGGAAATTTAGGATATTTCGGCCAGATTTTGCCGGTTTCGTTCGTTTTTTTTTTTTGCAGATAAGGTAAAGTCAACACAAGTCCAAGGAGGAGTAAAGCTTGAAGAGCGAAGGGAAGAGAAAATCAGGAAAGACAAAGTCAACTAAAACAGAGAAGAGGAGGAAAAGAAATATATCCGAGGGGTTAGGAGGTGGATATAGATATAGACAAAGAGATGAGGGCGAAACGAATTTATTTGTTTTACGGTTTGATAAACCAAGAGATAGAGAAAGAGAAGAGAAGAACAGAGGGAGGGAGAAAGAGTTGAGAGAAACGAAATACTAAGAGATAATAAACCTGTGAAAGGGGGCAGAGTTAAGGAGCAGAGAGAGGGCAAAGACACCAAAAAAAAAAGAAAGAGGAAGAAAAGATCAAAAGAGAAAAAGAAGATCAAGAGAGCAAGAAAAGATCAAGAGAGCAAGAAAAGATCAAGAGAAAAAGGGAAGATCAAGAGAGAAAAAAAAGATCAAGAGAAAAAGAGAAGACCAAGAGACCAAGAGGAGATTAAGCAAGGAAGAACTGGATGAGCAGGAAGTGGAAGAGAGAGAGAGAGATAAAGATAAATAAGGGAAGCGCTGGGCCAGACTAATAATTATTTATTACAGGAAACCCAGGGACCCATATGAGGAGACACCAGGAACCATCGCTAGATTCCCGAGGTAAGCGTCATTTCGTTCTAAAATAAGGTGGTCGTTGATGATTTACGGCTTAGACATTTAAAGGAATGTCTAGCCTAGAAAGGGGGTTTGTGACGTGGTAGCTAAAGCTATTACGTCACTGTATACCTATATTTTGGGGCAAGTCATCGGTGGCTACCAAGTTCTAGAATAACATATATATTTTCTATATGTAAATCTATAACACATTTCGTTATACGTGTTCTCGGTACCGCGGACTACGAGCAAGAGGAGAAAAAAGAACAAAAGACCATAAAAGGATTTGAAAGTGTGTGAGATATGATTGCGTAAGCATGTGTGTAAGATAGAGAAAGAGAGAGGCAAGGGCTCGTGACACGTCGGAAAGGTGTGAGCACCGAGCGGCCTCGTCGATTTTCTAGTTTTTGAAACCTCTAATAGTTTATCGGTTTTTAGGCCTGTTAAAAATTTTTCGGATACACAGAAGGGGCGCGTGCATCTGTTAAAGTGTACTGCCATTACGCAGTCAGTATCGCGTGAAGTGGCATAGAAAGCAGATAGGAAAGAGAGAGAGATTGGATATAGGAAAAAGTGACTGGTAGAGCTGAGAGTGAGGGAAGGGATTTAAAAAGAGAGCATAGGAGAACACCGAACAATACTGCCCAAGAGTTAACCGTGCCACTGAGTCAACGCAACGATTGAGACGAACTCTAGGTAGCACCGGGTGACGGTGAGGACAGAGAGAAGGTCACTTCACGGAGGACGGTGCACTAGGTTATATCTCAAGGTAAAGGTTTGGGGACAATAAAATTGAGTCAGGATAAATGGGTGTAGGATCTATATAGGGATAGGAAAGATTGAATTGAGTGGAAGGTATGCTTGAGGTTGTGTCCGTGTGTGTAAGTGTGTGTAGCCTAGGTGCCGGCCACCAACAGTCGAGCCAGGGAGGAGTTCGGTGAAGAGGACGACCAGAGGTGACAGTACGAAGATATCTACCTTGAGAATAGTGTGCCAATATAAATATAAATGTAAAGGGAAAGAGAGAGACGCGATGTTGTGGAGAGAGTGTATTAAGGCGAATAAATAGCGCGAGAGCGCTGTAAAAATGTATATCCGCAAGTGTTTTTTTGAGAAGTAGTCCCCCTATTTGCCCCCTTCTATTTTTCTTTTAGAAGTTTCTGGTGTTTTCCAGCCAGACACCTGTGGCAGACCTCCCGGAGAAGAGATATCTAGAGTGTAGGGACATGGTAAGAAATTGAGTGAGAGTTTTGTGGGGGGATCCGGGATGGCTGTTTATCGGCTAGAAAAATCTCCATCACAATGCTTTAAAAGTTTTCAAATTGAAAAAAAAAAACCATATAACGGTAGATACTTTAATAAATTATTGTGTCACTATTATTTCTGTTACTATAATTAAAATTCTTATTATTATTATTGTTATTCTTATTATTACTTTTATTATTATATTAAAATTTGACACTGTGTAAGGTATTTAAATTGTTTTTCAAAACATGATAAAACAAAGAATTTGTAAGCATTTGAAAAATTATTTGTATAAGTGTTTTATTTTTAATTATAATTTTTTTACAGCTAAAAATCGACTTCAGACTTATGGTCACTGGTTCATTTGATGACGAAAAAAATTTTGAAATCTACTCTAGAAAATATTGATTCATTGTTTACCAGCAGTTGACCTGCTGTAGTAAAAAAAATTGTGACTTGTTCCGAAAAAGTAAAAACGACGGAGGTCTAGCAGTGTGAGGAACAGTACGCCATCTTGATTACTAGTGATACGTTGAAAAAATCCTTTGTTAAAAAATTTACGTCCAACTGACATCAGTGCTTATAAACATAAGAAATTTTATCCAGGTGCGTAAAATTTGCTTGCACTTTCTCTTCTACCACTTGCTATATTTGTAACGAAAATCGTTAAGTCAAAATCACTTAGAAACGCTGCTATGAAGAATAAGTAAAATTTAATCACACTTTACAATTGATTTATAAGTAAAAAATTTTTTTTTTCTTGTCTCGTGTGAACAGTTTTTTAACTCGTGTTGTTGTTTAAATTTAATCAATCACTTATATTAGTTAATTCATAAAAGAGGTGTCCTGTAAGAAGCTTTTTGTTTTTCAAACAAAATAATTTTACAAAATAACTTTTTTGTTTTGTGTTTGTTTTTAACAGTGCATCTGACATTGAAACCTGAAAAAAAACATTTTCAAAGAGATGAAATGAATCAGACTTGGACATACATCCATACGATGTTATTAGTGGACCTTTGGAAGACCTTACCAAAACTGATCTCATTATTAGAAACAAGAATTATGAGTATAAATATCCCTTAAATGCTGTTCAAGACTGCTCTAAAGCTTGTACGGTTCTGCATACTTGGTCATACATCAGCGATTCTGTTTAGTCTTCCATCGAACAAACAGTTTATGCTCTTAACCTAAACGCATCTCCCGCATTTGTTACCAAGGATTATACAAATTTGCAAAAATTCATTGAGACTGTAGAAGAAAAAAACAAAAAAATTAAACTGTCTTAGTTATTTGACTTTTATGCTTTTGTAAGCTTTTACTATTTACTAACTTTTTTGGAGCTTAAGAAATAATTTAATAAGAATTATTTGAAAAATAATCATTTTAAGCAGTTACACTGTTAATACATGATGGACTTACAGGAACCTTTAAGCAGGCTTTTAAAATTTATTTTGTTGCTTAACGCAGATTCATTATTACTGCGAAACATCGTAGATTAAGTGCTTACTTTTTAAAGAGATCTTTTAATTAATACATATTTTCCATTTTAGCAAAAAGACATAATAAAAATCGTAGAAGCGGGGGAGAAAGAGAAAAAATTTTAATTTTAATAATTAAATTTATTTATTAATTCAATAGACCTAACCAGATAAATACCTTAGCAATAAGCTCTAAGACACCAGGTTCTATGAGGGAAAATGGTGTGGTACTTATAAAATCATAATAATTTACCCATTGGGTTTGATTAATTATTGCATTAAGGCATATAAAAATAAGCATTATGTCTACGACGTCTGCAAACAGTGTGTTTGGTTACCTATGAAATCTAAATAAGAAATACCAACAGGTTGATGAACAACGTGAAACAGGTACTCAATTAAATAAAGTAAGCTTATGTAAAAAAAATGGTAGGCTGTAACAGTGGCAGTGATATGACTTATGCAGAACATACTTTGTAGTTTTTACAGTGCTAAATTAGGTGAGATGTTCAAGCAAAATTTTTCCACCCTCTCGTCAGATTTTAAAGCTTTAGAATGTAGAAAAACATTTAGTAGATAAGAATTTAAAGTAATTATCCTTGGTCACTGATTTTCTTACTAGTAAATAAGAAAAAAAAAAATTCCTTTACATTAAAACCTTTTTCTGTATTTACTTATTAGCTACGACAAAGTGCTTTTAAATGTAGCTTAGACACATAAAAACGTGCATGCTCAGTTCCTTACTAGTTTTAAGCTTATAAATCCATGGCTGCTTGAACAAATACTATCTTTAAAGAGGAATGTATTATTATTATTATCTAGCTTACAATTTTTTAAGCTGTAAATGTTGTCATTTATGTCTGATATGTTAAAAATAACAGCTTGTAGTTATTAATATTAAAACTCGGTAGGAATGTTTAAATTGTTAGATATATTTCAAAAAATTGTTTTAATTTCAAACATACAAATAACAAATCATTAGTTTACTATATCATATAAATAAAAGTACAGTCATCTTACATAATTGGCCCATGCTATCATTACTTTTACTATTTTCTAGATAAACAAGTGTTAATTCATCTATGTAAGGCAATTCCACTCGGTACATTATTTCTTTATTTGTATTATCTGAACACTGAAAAGGCGCTGAAACAGAATATAATGTTGGTCAATGAAACCAAAATCTATTAAAATAAGCCGTTCTGAATAAATATAAGATTTAGAAAATTAAATTCTTACGATAAAAATGTCTTTTAATTTTTTTTTTCTAATTACTTTTATACATGATTCTTAGGTCATGGAAGTGTATTAGGACTAGTAATTTATAATTCACAGTTTAAAAAAGATACACTTATCTTATGACAGTTGAAGGTTGTTTTATTAAATGATTACATTAAAATAGTAATAGAAACAAAATATTGTCATATATTAAAATCCACCTAACGTGGAATGACAATAAAAGTAGTACCTAGGGACGGCCATCAATCACAAAATTTTCGAACAATTTTTTGGAGGAAATTATTTTTCTTCATATGTTATTGTTAAGCATGACTTAACTACAATAAATAAATATTTGTATGTATTTCGAAATTCTTTTTCACTAACGTAAAATATGAATAACTTACTTACATTATAACTATCTAGACTCCATAATGTAACAAAGTCTTTATACTGAATTTGGCGTATTTTATGTACTAAAAGCCTAATCTTGAATATAAGACACATAAAAAATGCTGTATCATATAAAAATGTCATTGAACTAAAAAAAAATGTTGATTGCGTAAGGTTTAAAAAATTTCGAATAACTGACTTAACGTCTAACATTTTAATGAAACAAGGGCGTTAATTAAATTGTATTACACTTTTAACGTATGAATACTACAATATGCACATATAGGTTATGGAAAAGCAAATATGCCATCCTTATGTGACGTTAAAAACATGTAAAATTTAATATCAAAGTTGCATATGTGCAAGCAATAAAGCGAAAACCCATGCATGCTCAAATTCTCCACTGCATTTGCCGCAAATTCTAAAATTTGTTCATAGTTGGTCATGGTAAGTTGAAAAAAAACGATCTTCATATTATTCTACAAACACCTAAAAAATTATGTCGTACTTTCTTTCTTAAGTTTGTGTACGAATTTTCTCTTCCTTTGCTAAAAATATAATGTTTCTTCGTGATTTTGGGAAAAAAAATACAACATTACTTCTCTGGTAAAAAAAACATTTACTGCTTATGAGAAAAAGCATTTTTGCATCGTTTGTAAGGAGCTTGCCCTTGATCTAGAGCCAGCGGAAAGGGGGCAGTGCAGAGAAATTCGAAATACTTTTTCTACAAACAGAACATGCAACTTTTGACCTGAAGGGAATAATGCACTTTGCTGCCCTAAATTACAAAAAAGTAGATCTTCCAACAGGAGTATAAGGAAAATAAGATTTGTGACATAGCAAATTAAAACATTGTAATGTAAACGCTACATATTCTAAAACTTATTATAATAAATCTTGCGTTAGGATCAATTATATTTAATCACTACAACTATATTACATATTAACAGTCCTTTATTAATTAATAGACTTACAACAATATATCATTTGTTTATTAAAAAGAAATTTATCTCCCCAGAAAATTCTGCAAGATATAGTCTATTTAAAATGTACTTATTAAGAAACCAGTGATTGCCAAGACATTCCACACTATCAAATACTTCATCAAAGTTGCAGCAAAAATTGAGGCTTATGCATAAAGTTACATCTGTGGCGTTCCAAGCCAGACCTCCAACAGATGAAGCCATGCACACACGTAAGTAACAAGTCTTTTTCCACCAAATCTTTGCAAAACTTTGTAGGAACTCAGAGCTCTGCAGTGCCGACTCCGTCCTGCATGCTTGCTTGCGATTGCAGCGCTTCTTCATTGTAGCGGTCTACCCACTTACTATGTTTTCCTTCTTCTTTTTACGACTGCGAGTCAGGGCAGTCGTCTCACGAGTCACTCAGTCAATAAATTCACTACTGTTGCAGTTACGAATTGGCTCCTTGATTTCTCCTTCTCGACTGAACTCCTGTGCTTACGGGAGCCCGTCCTGATCCCAGAGTCTACCTCGGCATTATGGACATAATCCCATTACTTCTGTATAATGATGCCATCTCATGGTTGAAGTACAGCACTACTTCTACAATCACTGCGCTCAGATAGTGTGATACTTTTTAAGGAATTTAATTCTGGACTAGCACTCACTCGAGACACGAGTTTTCCCTGCACAGTACTACCAACAGCATATTTTTATTCTATATTCACACATATTAGTAAGCGAGAGTATTTTCTTTATACATCACGCATTCTTATTTCGTGACCTGGTGATATCTCTGGCTTTCCTAAGGTTAGCGAAAGCTGAAAAATAACACTTGTGGAAGAAAAGTAAGCTTAAGCAAACGGAGCAGCCTCTAAGAAGAAAATATCACGAATTAATCTCCCCACCTTAGATTACCAAAATGACTAAGCTGTGTTAAATAGAATTTGCCTTAGATACCAACACCGTCAGCGTAATGCTAAGGACAACTAAATCGCCATCATGTCTACAACCACGTGACGAACACCAGCTTTCTTATTGACTCAGCCTCAGTCATTTCTCTATTTCTCAGGTTTTCCCTTAAAAAAAAAAATGAAGTGCCAAACGTTCACTCTCTTAGCCTTAAACTGCTTGTGCGTTTCCATGTGTGGCACGCATTACTTTAAAGTCGACTTAAAATCCCAACATGTATAAAGTTGGACGTTTATAGTGGCAGACGTCTCTACAGCGATCTTAGGAGCAGATTTCATTGCTTATTTGAATTTTTTCGTTAATCTTTCAGAACACCAGCTAATTGACTCTGTCGTCAGCCCCACCTAAAGGTAGGGTATGTATTTCAAGCCCACAATGCTCCTACACAGCATCTAAGTCAGCTGCCAAATGCACACTTCCTCGAAACGTTTACGCTAAATATATGAGACACTGCTAGAAAAGTTCATTGACATCACACTTATAGATGAAGCACTAGTAGACCTACTAGATTTTTCCATCTGCCAGAAAACCGATACGTCTGGACCTCCCATCTCTCATTGACCTTGCAGACTTCTGCCTAGCTACTGCAAAGGATGATTTCAAGTTTCTTATGGATTAGCGGACCATGCAGCCTTCATCCAGCCAATGGTTCAGCTATCCCTTCCTCTTTCAAAAGCTAGACAAGACCTGACGTGTCACGGGTGATTATTGGCACTTTAATGTCAATATTACTCTTTATTGCTATCCTCAGACCTTCGTTGCAGACAAATTGTTACAAGAAATTCAGAAGACAGTTTTTTCCGCCATCGATTATGGAAAGGCCTTTTATTTAATTACTACAACCCAACAAGATTTTTTAAAGACTCCAGTAATCACGCCCTTTGGGTTGTTCTTACTAGCTTACTCTTCCATTGGCCAGGGAAACACAGCTCACTTTCTCAAGTGGACGGTCAACGACTACGTTAAGAGCTGACGCTCATCAAGGCCTACCTAAAAGACTTTACTGTAATCTTAGACAATCACCAGCAGCACCTATAACATCTTTAACGACTCTTTGATCAATTCTGGACAGCTAACATTAGGATTAACCTTAACAAATGTTAACTTAGCAGAAACTTAGTAACCTTCCTGGGGAACACAGTTTCTGCAAGTGGCTTCAATCCCCTAATTCAAGATCCAGGCTATTGCTAAATTTTCCTACCTGTAGACATTCTCCAAGCTACGCCACTACATGGTTCTCCTAAGCTATTACTATTCATGCATTTTCAAAGCTACTAGGATCCTTGCTACTCTTAGCAGTATATTAAAAGGCATCTAATAAATAGAAAAGAAGGCGAAGATTGAGTGGCCTCCTAAAGCAGAAGCCTCCTCTCGCAAGCAAGTAATCGCCAAAGCTTCCACAACGACATTTCTGCGTAAAGACACCCCAATAAATCTTGGAACCGACACTTTGGACTCCTCCATGAAAAACTGCAGTGGAACAGGAGGACCTGGAAGAAACTTGAAGACCTAGATATCTCATGGATATGGAACAACAATCCCTATGACCAGGAGCTCCTCACCATTGACGCTTTTATCAAGTTATTTAAATAGGTCCTTGAGGGTAATTCATTTACGATCTCCACAGATGATAAGCCCCTTGTCTCTAAAGCAACACAGCATTTAGATAAACCTTCGCCTCACTAAGTCTGCAACTGAAAGTATATTTTCTAATCAAACAGTTGGCTAGTAAGAGTTAGGGAAGAGAATAACGTGATCTCCGATGATATCTTGTGTATCCAATCATCTTCATGCCATCTCTACTCAATTCGGGGATAATCGCTAAGGTCCTGGCAGAAGACTTCAAATTATAACGAGTTGCATCTGACATGAGCCTAACTCTCCAAATCCTTATAACAGATAGCGTCACGGTCGACTGCCATGCGTCAATAAGAATCATCAGACCCTCCCTTTTTCTGCCTTTCAGGCCTAGAACCTTCAAGATTTCTTACAAACTTGGCCACCCAACTGCCAAGAAGTCAGCCAGTGGGCACAATTTTGTATGCCCTGCCATTAATTGAAGGTATACAGGTACAACAGAGCAGCCTTTGGGAACTTTTACTCTTCAAAGGGGTGAACTAAGCATGAATACATTGACATTATCAAGCTTCTACTTTTCCATGGCTTTTTGTATTGTCTCAACGTTATCAACTGACTTTTAAGGAGGCCTGAGGCAATACCCTTACCAGACAAGTCTGCTGTTGCGACTTTCAGGGCACTTACTGACAAGTGGATCAGCCTATACGGAACGCTTTTTACGATCATAACTTTGTCATTCAAGTCAGCCTTATTGAAGAAATGAACAAAGTCCTGGGTTAACCATGTTCTATACAATGCCCTACCACCCTCATGGCATGGGCATGGTGCAATAGAACTACGGCCTACTAAAGACAGCCCTTGTATGCGATCCTGAAAGTCCATGGCCTGATCAACTTTGGCTTGCACTCCTAGGCCTTAGTACCACGTTTAAAGATAATTTTTAAGCATCACTGGCAGGAATGTTATGTAACACCACGCTTAGAGTGTTATAACATGGTGCTCATTGCTTTCATAACGCCAATG